CTTTGGTCTTCATTCTGGCATGCCCAGCAAAGCCACTTAATGGAAATGTAGCAACATACAAAACAGAAATATAAATAATCATCAGAAACTACTACAAAGAGCTGTAAGTCAACAAATTGGGAAACCTAGAAGAAACGGATACAACCTACCTAAACTGAGCCATGAAGACACAGAAAATCTAAACAGACCCATAACCATGAAACAAATTGAATCAGTAATAAATGTGCTACCAAAAAAGAAGAGCCCAGGACCGGATGGCTTCACTGCTGAATTCTACCAGACATCTAAAGAAGAACTAATCCCAGTTCTTTTCTAATTATTCAAAACAATTGAAAGGGAGGGAATCCTCTGAAATTCTTTCTGTGAAGCCAATATCCCCTTAATTCCTAAACCCGGAAAAGATGCAACAGAGAATGAAAACTATAGACCTATCTCCCTGATGAACAAAGATGCAAAAATACTCAACAAAATCCTGGCCAACCGAATTCAACTACACATCAGAAAGATCATTCAACCGGATCAAGTGGGATTTATCCCTCATATGCAGGGATGGTTCAACATTTGAAAATCTATCAATGTGATACACCACATTAACAAATTGAGAAACAAAAATCATATGATTATCTCAATAGATGCATAGAAAGTACTTGACAAAATACAACACCCTTTCATGATGAAAACTTTAAGCAAATTGGGTTTAGAAGAAACATTCCTCAACACAATTAAGGCAATTTATGACAAACCCATGGCCAGCATTATATTGAATGGGGAAAAGTTGGTGGCATTCCCATTGAAATCTGACACTATACAGGGATGCCAACTCTCGCCATTGCTATTCAATATAGTCCTAGAAGTTTTAACCAGAGCCATCAGGCAAGAAAAAGAAATTAAAGGGATACAAATTGGAAATGAGGAAGTCAAATTATCCTTATTTGCAGATGACATGATTCTATATATAGGGGACCCAAAAGACTCCATTTAGAGACTATGGGAACTAATAGAAGAGTTTGGGAAAGTAGCAGGATATAAATTCAATACACAAATATCAATATCTTTTGTATAAATAGACAGTGCTAAGGCTGAGATTGAGCTTCTAAAATCAATTCCATTCATAATAGCTACAAAAAAATCAAATACCTTGGAATAAATTTAACCATGAATATCAAAGATCTCTACAATGAGAATTATAAAAAAGAGATTACATTAAATTAAAAAGAATTACATTAAAGAAAGAAATAGAAGATACAAAAAAGAAATGGCTCCATGTTCATGGATTGAAAGAATAAAAAAATCTCCAATGTTCATTAATGGAATAATCAATATCATAAAAATGTCCATTCTTCTGAAAGCAATTTACAGATTCAATGTAATATGCACCAAAATATAAAAGACATTCTTCTCTGATATAAAAAAAAGATGCTGAAATTCATATGGAGACACAGGAGACCTCAAATGGCTAAAGCAGTCTTACACAACAAAAACAGACCTGAGGCATCACAATACCAGATTTCAAGATATACTGTAAGGCAGTTATAATCAAAACAGCATGGTACTGCTACAAAAACAGATGGATAGACCAATGGAACAGAATAGAAATGCCAGAAATCAATGCAAACATCTACAGCCAACCTATATTTGATCAAGGATCTAAAACCAATCCCTGGAGCAAGGATAGTCTCTTCAACAATGGTGCTGGAAAAACTGGATTTCCATACGTAGAAGTATGAAGCAAGACCCCTACCTTATACCTTACAAAAAAAAAAAAAAAACACTCAAGATGGATTAAAGATGTAAATCTACAACTGGACACCATCAAATTATTAGAGAACACTGGGGAAACCCTGGAAGACATTGGCATAGTCATAGAGTTCTTGGAAAAGACCCCAGAGGCAAAGGCAGTCAAAACCAAAATAAAAAAATGGGATTACATAAAATTGAGAAGTTTCTTTACTGAAAAAGAAACACTCAGGAATGTTAAGAGGCAACCAACAGAATGGCAGAAATTATTTGCAAGTTATTCAACTGATAAAGGATTAATAACATTAATAACTAGAATCTACATAGAGACAAGAAACTCCACAACAACAAAACAAACAACACACTTAAGAAATGGGCCAAGGACTTAAACAGATATTTTTCAAAAGAGGAAATTCAAATGACCAGACACACGAAAAAATGTTCAGGATCACTAGCCATCAGCAAAATGCAAATCAAAACCACAATTATGTTTCACCTCACGCCAGTTAGAATGGCTTTCATACAGAAATCAAAAACAACAAATTCTGGTGAGGATGTGTGGAAAAAGGTGCCCTAATCTACTTTTGGTGGGAATGTAAACAGGTAAAGCCATTAAGGAAGATTGTATGGAGATACCTCAAAAATATGAATATAGACCTACCATATGACCCAGCCATTCCACTCCTTGGAATTTACCCAAGGGAAATGAAATAAGTAAATAAAAGAGTTATCTGCATCTCACACTTATTGTAACTCAATTTTACAATAGCTAAGACATGGAATCAACCCAAATGCCCATCAACTGAAGCCTGGATAAAGAAATTACAGGATATGTACACTATGGAATACTACACAGTGGTTTAAAAATGAAATCTTTTTATTTGCAACAGAATGGATGAATCTGTAAAATATCTTACTTAGTGAAATAAGCCAGTCCCAAAGCAACAAATATATGTTCTCTCTGATCTGCGAGAACTAATAGAGCACCTAAAACAAAATCTGCAGAAGTGAAATTGACTCTTTGAGAAGGGATGACTTGAGCTGCCCTTGTGTTGATGGTCAAGGATTTGTTCCTTTTTTGCGTTATTGTTGTTGTTTTTCTCTTCATACTATTTGGTGAACTCTTTACTTAACAGAGTAAATCACTTGTGTATAAAGTCAATTGAGGATGGATCTCTAAGAGTGGGAATAAGAAAGGGAGGAGGACATTTGTTACTGCAAAGCTGTATAGATCTGCATATATTCCTAGGGACTTACTTCCTTTTTATTTTTTTTTATTTGTTTGACAGATAGAGTTAGACAGTGAGAGAGAGAGACAGAGAGAAAGGTCTTCCTTCCATTGGTTCACCCCCCAAATGGCTGCTATGGCTGGAGCTACACAGATCTGAAGCCAGGAGCCAGATGCTTCCTCCTGGTCTCCTATACAGGTGCAGGAGCCCAAGAACTTGGGCCATCCCCCACTGCCTTTCTGGGTCACAGCAGAGAGCTGGACTGGAAGAAGAGCAACTAGGACTAGAACCCGGCACCCATATGGGATGCTGGTGCCGCAGGCGGAGGATTAACCATGTGAGCCACGGTGCCCGTCTGGCTGAAAGGCCTGTGAGAGCATTTCAGGCATGGAAAGCTAAGACTTGTGGCAAAAAATGTTCTACAAAAAGGATCTATGTAATGAGACCCCAGCAGAATGAAGTGGCCATCAAAGTAGGATGTACTTTTCTCTAAAGGGATGAGAGAACTTCCACTTTGCTTATGGCCTTGTCTAAATACTGATGGAGTTTGTGGACTCAAAAGGCTTCTATATCTCAGGCAGCTTATGTCAAGAGCCTCAGGTGGTCAATGACATCATACATAAGAGTGTTAATTGTTAAAATTAACAACAGGAGTTTCTGTGCACTAACTCTTCATGCAGGACCTCTGTCCTCAATGAGTTGTATTATGTGAGTTAACTGTAAAACTAGTTATCAGGTTTTTTTTGTGTGTGTATATGTGTGTGTGCACAAATTATTGAAATCTTTACTTAGTATAGATTTGGTCTTCTGTGTACAAAGTTAATTGAAAATCAATCTAATGGAGAATGGGACTGAGAAGGGGAGAGGGAAGAGGAGGAGGGGTGGGAGTGCAGGTATGGTGGGAAGAATAACTGTATTCCTAAATTTGTACTTATGAAATTTATATTCCTTTTAAAATTTTAAAAAGTATTAACCACTGGCTTTTGTTTTGACTATAGAATGCTGAGGGGCTAGTCTGATTATTATCTTGACTGAAATAAACAACTCCCCTCCTGTAATAAGTTAGTATACAATTTTAATGAACAGGCATTTCATTCAATTTAATTGAAAATAAAATGTCTTCTGTTTCTTTCCATTTCACTTGTTGGCAAAAAGCACAATGACACTATATCAAGCCAGTATTGGGGATTTATTAAACATTTTATAAGACAGTAGTTCCAAAGATCTGTTACCCATTGAAATCATGTGAGAAACTTTAAAAATTGACCTTGGATCTCATCCTTACATGTTCTGATTTAACGGTGTGGGATGCCATGTGAGTGTTGAAATTTTAATGTGCCAGTTCCTCCAAGATAGCGGAATAGGGAGGGAACACACTGACAGTCCAGAAAAAGGTAGTTTAATAAAAGTGGAGATACTGTAGTTTCTGGGAAAAGTTAGGGAAAAATCTAGAGGAAACTCTTTTGGAACTAGTGAGACACAGTGGACCTACATGGAGGGCAAGGATGCCCATGGCTTGGGACCCCAGCCACCGAGTCTACGCTCCAGTGCTGGAAAGGGATGTGAGGTGAAACCGCAGTAGCCCGAGACACTGGCAGGGAAGTGGCAGGAAAAGCCTAGAGGGAATGAGGCTTGAAGCCCCATGGGGGAAAGTTCACCAGGCTAACTAGAGGAGAGAAAAAAATATATAAATAAATAAATAAATAAATAAATAAAAGGGACCAGTACGGACACAATTCTCTCTCTCCACTCATCTTACAAAGGCAAGCAAGACAAAGAGCAGGCGACATTTTGGATATACATAAAAGCTCCGCCTGCCATCAGCCAAGCAGGAAAATCTGACTCTGGTGGGGAGAAATAACAGGAGGTTAGGACCTAGTGAATGTGTGGAACTAATGACCTGAGACTGAAAAAAAAATCAAGAATGTGGCAGAGGACTCACAGAGTACTGGAGACATGTGTACTCTCCGGAGATGCCACAATCTTGGTAATCTTGGCAACCTGGTGAGGGATTACAGGGGAATTTGAGCTTACACTGAAGTCTGCACAGATCCTTTGTGTGGTCCTTGGGACAGAGCAGATGAATATTATACCCACAGGGGCCAGAGCTCAGAGCTCAGTTCTGCCTTCAACTCTGCTCAGCTGTGCGGATTTACTTCCCTTCTGAAAAAAAAGAGAGAGAGAGAGAGAGAGAAAGAGCTTTACCATGCCTAACCTGGGTGTGTCACCTTTGGCATACCCTTAACCCTGAAGAACCGAACAGAGATCACTGGCCACACCCATCACAAGCCTCTAAGGATCCATCAAAAGCAGTCAGTCCACTTAATCTAGGGACATAGTATACTGAAAAACCCACCAGAGCGAGGGAATAAAAAAAGAAGAAACCAAAGAATATCTCCACAATGCCAAGCAACAAACGCAGAAACCAAGGAAACAATAACAAGGAAGACATTATGATGCCCCCAAATGAACAAAACACCACAAGCCAAGATTATGAAGATGATGAGAAGGAAGAAATGCAAGATATGGATTTCAAAAAATTTATGATAAGAACATCTAGAAGTTCTCAAAAACAAATTCTTGAACTACAGAAATCCTTACTGGACAGGATAGAAAATCTCGTGAAAATGAAATCTTAAGGAGGAATCAAAATGAAATGAAGAAACTAGTAGAGCATGAAATTGCGATAGTGAAATGAAATCATAATGAAATGAAGAATTCAATAGATCAAATGACAAACACATTAGAGAGCCTTAAAAAGAGAGTCAGTGAAGTAGAAGAGAGAATATCGGACTTAAAAGACAGAGAACAGGAGAGTATACAGTCAAACCAAAGAAAACAAGAGGAAATTAGAAATCTAAAAAATATTGTTGGGAATCTACAGGATACTATTAAAAAATCCAACATTCGGGTTCTAGGAGCTCCTGAAGGCATGGAGAGAGAGAAAGGATTAGAAGCCCTTTTTAGTGAGATACTAGCAGAGAACTTCCTGGGTTTGGAGGACAGAAATATCCTAGTATAGGAAGCTCATAGAACCCCTAGTAAACATGACCAAAAGAGATCCTCACCATGACACGTTGTAATCAAACTCACCACAGTGAAACATAAAGAAAAGATTCTAAAATGTGCAAGAGTGAAATGTCAGATTACTCTCAGAGGATCTCCAATTAGACTCACAGCAGACTTCTCATCAGAAACCCTACAGGCTAGGAGGGAATGGTGAGACATAGCCCAGGTACTAAGAAAAACTGTCAGCCCAGAATATTATATCCTGCAAAGCTCTCATTTGTGAATGAAGGTGAAATATAGACCTTTCATAGCAAACAGAAATTGAAAGAATTTGCCGCCACTCGTCCGGCCCTGCAGAAGGTGCTTAAAGATGTGTTACACACAGGAACATAGTCATCAGTGTAAAAGAAGGTAAAGGAAGGAAACCTCACAGCAAAAGATCACAGGAAGTTCAAAGTATATATTAGAAAATATCTTCAGGAAATGGCAGGGTAAAGTTACCACTTATCATTAGTCACTTTGAATGTAAATGGCCTGAACTGTCCAGTTAAAAGACACAGACTGCCTGAATGGGATAAGGAACAAAACCCATCTATTTGCTGCTTACAAGAAACACATCTTTCCAATGATGATTCATACAGACTGAAAGTGAAAGGCTGGAAAAAGATATACCATGCCAACAGAAATGAAAAAAGAGCAGGAGTAGCCATCTTAATGTCAGACAAAATAAACTTTAACACAAAAACTGTTAAGAGAGACAAAGAGGTGCACTATATAATGATTAAGGGATCAATTCAACAGGAAGATATAATGATTATCAATGTATATGCACCTAATTACAGGGCACCGGTTTATTTAAAAGATTTGTTAAGGGACTTAAAGGGAGACTTAGACCCCAATACAATAGTACTGGGGGACTTCAATACTCCACTCTCAGAAATAGACAGATCAACAGGACAGAAGATAAACAAGGAGACAGTAGATTTAAATAACACTATAGCCCAAATGGATCTAACAGATATCTACAGAACTTTTCATCCTACACATAAAGTATTTACATTCTTCTCAGCAGTACATTGACCACATACTAGGCCATAAAGCAAGTCTCAGAAAATTAAAAAGAATTAGAATCATATGATGCATCTTCTCAGACCACAGTGGAATGAAGCTGGAAATTAGCAACTCAGGAATCCCTAGAGCATATGCAAACACATGGAGATAGAAAAACATGCTCCTGAATGAACACTGGGTCATAGAAGAGATCAAAAGAGAAATCAAAAACTTTCTGGAAGTAAATGAGGATAACAACACAACATATCAAAACTTATGGGATACAGCAAAAGCAGTGTTAAGAGGAAAGTTTATAACAATAGGTGCCTACATCAAGAAATTGGAAAGGCACCAAATAGATGAGCTTTCAATGCATCTCAAGGATCTAGAAAACCTACAGCAAACCATACCCAAATCTAGTAGGAGAAGAGAAATAATTAAAATCAGAGAAGAAATCAAGAGGATTGAATCCAAAAAAATTACAAAAATTCAGCCAAATGAAGAGCTGGATATTTGAGAAATTAAACAAAATTGACACCCCATTGGCCAAACTAACTAAAAAAAGAAGAGAAAAGACCCAAATCAATAAAATCAGAGATGAAAAAGGAAACATAACAACAAACACCACAGAAATAAAAAGAATCATCAGAAATTACTAGAAGGACTTGTATGCCACGAAACAGGGAAATCTATCAGAAATGGATAGATTCCTGGACACATGCAACCTACCTAAATTGAACCAGAAAGACATAGAACACCTAAACAGACCCATAACTGAGACAGAAATTGAAACAGTAATAAAGGCCCTCCCAACAAAGAAAGGCCCAGGACCAGATGGATTCACTGCTGAATTCTACCAGACATTTAAAGAACTAACTCCAATTCTTCTCAAACTATTCAGAACAATCGAAGAAGAGGGAATCCTCCCAAATTCTTTCTATGAAGCCACCATCACCTTAATTCCTAAGCCGGAGAAAGATGCAGCATTGAAAGAGAATTACAGACCAATATCCCTGATGAACATAGACGCAAAAATCCTCAATAAAATTCTGGCCAATAGAATGCAACAACACATTGGAAAGATCATCCACCCAGACCAAGTATGATTTATCCCTGGTATGCAGGGATGGTTCAATGTTCGCAAAACACTCAATGTGATACACCACATTAAGAGACTGCAGAAGAAAAACCATATGATTATCTCAATAGACGCAGAGAAAGCATTTGATAAAATACAACACCCTTTCATGATGAAAACTCTAAGCAAACTGGGTATGGAAGGAACATTCCTCAATACAATCAAAGCAATCTATGAAAAACCCTTGGCCAGAATCCTATTGAATGGGGAAAAGTTGGAAGCATTTCCACTGAGATCTGGTACCAGACAGGGATGCCCACTCTCACCACTGCTATTCAATATAGTTCTGGAAGTTTTAGCCAGAGCTATTAGGCAAGAAAAATAAATTAAAGGGATACAAATTGGGAAGGAAGAACTCAAACTATCCCTCTTTGCATATGATATGATTCTTTATTTAGGAGATCCAAAGAACTTTACTAAGAGACTATTGGAACTCATAGAAGAGTTTGGCAAAGTATCAGGATATAAAATCAAAGCACAAAAATCAACAGCCTTTGTATACACAGGCAATGCCATGGCTGAGGAAGAACTTCTAAGATCAATCCCATTCACAATAGCTACAAAAACAATCAAATACCTTGGAATAAACTTAACCAAGGACATTAAAGACCTCTATTATGGAAATTACAAAATCTTAAAGAAAGAAATAGAAGAGGATACCAAAAAATGGAAAAATCTTCCATGTTCATGGAATGAAGAATCAACATCATCAAAATGTCCATTCTCCCAAAAGCAATTTATAGATTCAATGCGATACCAATCAAAATACCGAAGACATTCTTCTCAGATCTGGAAAAAATGATGCTGAAATTCATATGGTGACACAGGAGACCTCGAATAGCTAAAGCAATCTTGTACAACAAAAACAAAGCCGGAGGCATCACAATACCAGATTTGAGTACATACTACAGGGCAGTTATAATCAAAACAGCAGGGTACTGGTACAGAAACAGATGGGTAGACCAATGGAACAGAATAGAAACACCAGAAATCAATCCAAACATCTACAGCCAACTTATATTTGATTAAGGATCTAAAACCCATATTTGGAGCGAGGACAGTCTATTCAACAAATGGTGCTGGGAAAATTGGATTTCCACATGCAGAAGCATGAAGCATGACCCCTACCTTACACCTTACACAAAAATCCACTCAATATGGATTAAAGATCTAAATCTATGACCCGACACCATCAAATTATTAGAGAACATTGGAGAAACTCTGCAAGAAATAGACACCAGAAAAGACTTTTGGAAAGGACCCTGGAAGCACAGGAAGTCAAAGCCAAAATTAACAATTGGGATTGCATCAAAATGAGAAGTTTCTGTACAGCAGAAGAAACAGTAAGGAAAGTGAAGAGGCAACTGACAGAATGGGAAAAAATATTTGCAAACTATGCAATAGATAAAGGGTTAATAACCAGAAACTACAAAGAGATCAAGATACTCCACAACAACAAAACAAACAACACACTTAAGTGATGGGCCAAGGACCTCAATAGACATTTTTCAAAAAAGGAAATTCAAATGGCCAACAGGCACATGAAAAAATGTTCAGGATCACCAGCAATCAGGGAAATGCAAATCAAAACCACAATGAGGTTTCACCTCACCCTGGTTAGAATGGCTCACATTCAGAAATCTACCAACAATAGATGCTGGAGAGGATGTGGGGAAAAAGGGACACTAACCCACTGTTGGTGGGAAATGCAAACTGGTTAAGCCACTATTGAAGTCAGTTTGGAGATTGCTCAGAAAGCTGAATATAACCCTACCATACCACCCAGCCATCCCACTCCTTGGAATTTACCCAAAGGAAATTAAATTGGGAAACAAAAAAATGTTCTGCACCTTACTGTTTATTGCAGCTCAATTCACAATAGCTAAGACCTGGAATCAACCTAAATGCCCATCAACAGTAGACTGGATAAAGAAATTATGGAACATATGCTGTACAGAATACTATA